ACCAGATTTTTTAAATGAGTAAAGAATTAAAGAGACACTTCACCAAAGAAGATAGGTAAAAAGTAGGTAAGCACATAAAAAGCTGCCCAATATTAATAGTCATTGGAGAAATGTAAATTAAAACTGCATTGAGATATCACTACATACCCAGTAAATGGCTAAAATTAAAAGCCACCCAATACCAAGTGTTGCCAAGGATGTGGAGCAATTGAAACAGTCATGTAGTGTCAGTGGGAATGCAAAATGGCATAGACACTTTAGGAAAAAAAAATCTTGATGATTCATTATAGAGGTAAATTGATAATTACCACACAACCCAACCCAGCAATCCTGTTCTTAAGTGTTACTCAAGAAAAATGAAGACATGTGTCCCCACCTACACTTGTATGTGAACGTTATTAGCAGCTTTATTCATAACAGCAAAAAAAAAAAACAAACAACACAATATCAACCGTTGAATGAATAAACAAATGTGGTATATCTACACGAGGGAATATTAGTCACCTAGAAAAAGGAAAGCACTACTGATCCATAGAACAACATGGATTAGCTCATGTGATTATGGAGCCTGAGAAGTCCAAGATCTGCCCACTGCAAGCTGCAGGCCCCAGAAAGCCACTTATGTGGTCTCGGTCCAAACCCAAAGCTCTGAGAACCAGGGGTATCAATGGAGTAAATCTCAGCGTGAACCTGAAAACTTGGGAACCAAGAGTGCTGATGTCCAAGGGCAGGAGGAGATGGGTGTCTCAGCTCTATTCAGACCCTTAAGGACTGGGTGATGCCCACCCCCAGTGGTGCGACCCATCTTCTTTGCTCATCTATGGACTCAAACACTAATCTCTTCCCCATACACCCTCACAGACACACCCAGAAATGATGTCTTACCAGCTGTCTAGGCATCCCTTAGCCCGGTGAAGTTGATGCATAAAAACATGAGCATTAACAGCTGCCCAAAGACAAGCCGTGGCACTTTTCAACACCAAAAGACTGGCATACAGAAAATAAAATTAACTCTTACAAATCAGTACCAAAGAAACCCCACAGGCAACCCAATAAAAATGGGCAAAAGACATTAAGGCGTTTCACAAAAGAGGATATCCAACTGGCCAATAAAAGTATGAAAAGGTAATCAACCAACCACATTAGTCATTAAAACAAAAATCACTCATTACCATTATTTATCCACTAGACTGGGTGGAGGAGTCAAAAACCAGGAAATCTGACAATAATCTGTATTGATGAGAATGTGGAGCAACAGCAACTATCATACACTGATTGTAGCAATGTAAACTGGTACAATTATTGTGGAAATCAGTTTGACATTATATAATAAAATTAAGCACGCTTATACCCCACAATCAGCTATCCTACTACAAGTGATATTTCCTAGAGAAACTCTTGAATGTGTGCACCAGTGCCTTAGCTTAGGTTCCTCCAAAGTTCTGAGACCAGGACTTGGCACACAGTAGTTTACTTCGGGATGTAGTCAGTCCTGAAGAACAGAAGTGGCGCATCATTTGAATGATTGAACCAGTGAGGAAGGAAAACCATTCGAAGGGGGTGAGCAACCCATGCTCATTCCTGCTGGATACCCCCCGAGAAACTGTGTAAAGTAAATTGCCCACCCGTGACCTGGAAATGGGGAGTATTTATCCTAGGGCTCCTGTCCACATTAGTCAAAGATCCCTTTTCTTGAGATCTACGAGTAGAGTAAATTACCTTTGCCATGGCAGTCATCTCTTGATCTGCCGGCCTCACTTTACCTGAATAATAAAACCTATCAAAACATCTACTGACAGTACTTGAATAAATGGTCAGATAGTCACACAATGCAAAGTATTGCCATATACATCCACAAACAACAAAACAAGGGTGATTCCCACAAACAGAATTTTGACTGAACGCAGACACAAAAAATACATTAAGTATGATTTCATTTATATGAAGTTCAAAATAAGATGAATCCATAGCATTGAGGGTGCATACGTAGGAAGTCAGACTATGAAGAAAAGCAAAGAATGTGTGTCACAAATGACAAGATGGTAATTACCTCCAGGAGAGGGGGCAGGGCGTTGTGATTTGGGGAGGGGGATATATGGAGAGCTTCTGGGGAACTGGTAATGGTAATGGTAATATTTCCTCACTGAATGATTTTAGCAGATTTTCTTGTTAGTGATTCTTTAAATCGTACACATGTATTTTATGCATTTGCTGCATATGTCCTATCTCTTAATCAAAATATTCTCAAATTATTATCATGTAGCCTGATGAATGAACAGAGGGATAAAGAGTGAGGACACAAGTAGATCAGAATGGTAATTGCATTATCTACATGGTGCCAGTGCGGGTGTTCGCTGACTGTAGCACCACAAAGAGGCTGGTATGACTGCAGCAGAGTGTGCGAGGGAGATGCAGTGGAGGATGGCCAGGGACAGACAGACAGGCAGGGACCAGGTTACAGGGGTCCTGTATATCGAATTAAGGAACCTGGACTTGATCCTGCTGGCAATGAACAGTAAGAATTAGGCATTTCTTCTTCACATCATGTGCTGGGGCGGCAGAGGACAACACCCACCTTCACCAGAGCCTCACAGTAAGACGCAGCCCGACAGTCAAGAACAAGAGCATCGGTGGCAGGAGTAGCCGCGGCGCTTGCCCTGCTGCCTGCAGAGCCGGGGCAGGGGAAGCGGCTGTGCTACACGGATCTGGCGTGGCGGCTCCGTGCACCTCCTAGGCCACTGGGATAGATGTGACTGTCCTTATTTTGCAGACACAGCTAGTAGGCCATAGAGCAGGATTTGGATTCATTTGAAGTCATTTGAAAGAGCCCACGTTTTTAATAACTTGCTACGCTGCCTCTCCAAGACCGTGGCACGCATCACTCTGGGGCGAGTGAGAGAGGTTGGCAAGTCAGCAGCACGAAAGGATGGCAGAGCCACGGAGGAGAGGCGATCACTGGAGAGAATACCAGGCCTCCCCTTAGGCTCTCGGTAGAAAGAGGGCATCGTGGAAAGGTGGGGGGTGGGGTGGGAGGAGGTCAGCTTGGAGGGCACCCAGGAGATGAAGCCGACTTTTTAAAAAAAGAAAGGCTTTGAAGAGAAGGGAAAGGAGGAGGCAGATGGATTGGGGGACAGAGTAGGCAACAGATCCCCTGGTTACTGCACCATGTAACATTTGCCAAAAGAGCTACAAAAATGCTAGTGCGAGCTCCTGTTTCTTTCATCCGTAATAAATTGGAAGTAGGACTATCAGATTTTGGATAGAAAATCTAGAGCAGGGCAGCCCGGGTGGCTCAGTGGTTTAGCACTGCCTTCAGTCCACGGTGTGATCTTGGAGACCCGGGATCGAGTCCCATGTCGGGCTCCCTGCATGGAGCCTGCTTCTCCCTCTGCCTGTGTCTCTGCCTCTCTCTCTCTGTCTCCATGAATAAATAAATAATTTAAAAAGAAGAAAGAAAGAAAGAAAGAAAGAAAGAAAGAAAGAAAGAAAGAAAGAAAGAAAGAAAGAAAGAAAGAAAGAAAGAAAGAAAGAGGGATCCCTGGGTGGCGCAGCGGTTTGGCGCTTGCCTTTGGCCCAGGGCTCGATCCTGGAGACCCGGGATCGAATCCCACGTCAGGCTCCCGGTGCATGGAGCCTGCTTCTCCCTCTGCCTGTGTCTCTGCCTCTCTCTCTCTCACTGTGTGCCTATCATAAATAAATAAAAATTAAAAAAAATTAAAAAAAAAGAAAGAAAGAAAGAAAGAAAGAAAGAAAGAAAGAAAGAAAGAAAGAAAGAAAGAAAATCTAGAGCAGAGGGTAGCCCTGGTGGCGCAGCGGTTTGGCACCTGCCTTTGGCCTGGGGCGTGATCCTGGAGCCACCCGGGATCGAGTCCTGCATCGGGCTCCCGGTGTGGAACCTGCTTCTCCCTCTGCCTGTGTCTCTGCCCTTCTTTCTCTGTCTCTATGAATAAATAAAAAAATCTTTAGTTTTTTTTAAGATATTTATTTATTTATTTATGATACAGAGAGAGAGAGAGAGAGGGAGGGAGGGAGAGAGAGAGAGAGAGGGAGGGAGGGAGGGAGGCAGAGACACAGGCAGAGGGAGAAGCAGGCTCCATGCAGGGGGCCTGACACCGGACTCGATCCCAGGACTCTAGGATCGCTCCCTGGGCCAAAGGCAGGTGCTAAACCGCTGAGCCACCCAGGGATCCCCAATAAAAAATCTTAAAAAAAAAAAAGAAAAGAAAAGAATAGGAAAGGAAATCTAGCGCAGACCATGTCTCCATAGGGGCAGATAAGGGAATGCCATAAGCAGAGGTTCAGAGGGTAAATGATTTAGATCGTGTTGATGTCTATAAAACTTCACTACTGGCAACAGCCCAAATATCCACCAATAAGAGAACGCTTTAAACCCGGCAGGTTCAGAGGATTCTCCGCCCAGTCCACCGCAGCCACTTTGTCTCTGGGCGTCCGCTCCCTTCTACTTTAGTTGATTCGTAAACATTTGATTTTGCTTTCAGAGGAGCTGGGGGCGACGCATTCCTGTCCCGGCAGGGCACGGCCTTTGCATCAGACTGACGCGGTGCTAAGCTCACCTTGGCCGTCTACTCTCTGAAATGACAACGGCCTCTGCGCACGCCCGCGCTGCCCTAAGCCTCCGCAAGCCGTGGTTCACTTCTCCCAGAGCACCCCTGGGCGCTAGATCCTGCGCTTTGCCGGTTTCTCCAATAGAGAAACCGAGGCACCGAGAGGCTAAGCGAGCCGGTGAGTGAGGCAGCGCGTCGGTTCGGATGTGAGCGCCCACCCGGTCTGGCGGCAGAGCGCACCCCGGCCCCGGCAGGCGGCGCGGACCCGGCGGCCGCGGAGCGCGAGGCGGGGGCGGGGCGCTCGGGGGCGCTCGGGGGCGCTCGGGGGCGCTCGGGGGCCCAGCCCAGTTCCGCGCTCCCGCCGCCGGGGGGCGCCCCCGCCCGGCCCGCCGCCCGCGCGCTCCAGGCGGCCCCCGCGGCAGGGCGCGCCGCCGCAAGATGTCCGTGCGCCGCCGGCCCGCGCGGCCCGCCGGCCGCCTCCCCTGGCTGCTGTGCTGCGGCGCCCTGCTGTCCCCGGCCGCCGGCTACGTGATCGTGAGCTCCGTGTCCTGGGCCGTCACCAACGAGGTGGACGAGGAGCTGGACAGCGCCTCCACCGAGGACGCGCTGCCCGCGCTGCTGGAGGACTCGGGCAGCATCTGGCAGCGCAGCTTCCCGGCCTCGGCGCACAAGGAGGACGCGCACCTGCCGCCCGCCGCCGCCGCCGCCGCCGCCGCCGCCGCCGCCTCCGCCCGCGCCAGGCCGCCCCCCGCGCCGCCGGGGATGTTCTCCTACCGGCGCCAGGGCGGCCCGAGGCTGCGCCCCGGCACCGCCCGCTTCCTGGCCCACGCCAGCGCCTGGGGCTGTCTGGCCACCGTGTCCGCCCACGAGAAGGTAAGCGGCCCGGAGCCGGCTGCAGGTGCGCGCCCCGCGGGGCCCGGGGTGGGGGTGGGGGGCGGGGGCTGGGGGGGCGGGGGCTGGGGCCGGCGCCCTGGTTACCCTGGCAACGGGGAGCGGGGAGCGGGGAGCGGGGGACCCGGCCCGAAGTGCACACCTGAGGCGGCCCTGGACGCCGCCGCCTCCCAGCCCTCGGCGCCCCGCGGACCCCAGCTTCCCGGTCACCTGCCCACACTGCGGCTGGGAGGAGGCACCACGGGACGGGGGGTGCACAGTGACGTTTTGAAATATGGACCTCGAGAATTCCTCTGGAAAGGAGGTTTAGGGTGCAAAGTGTATGTATATATATACACACATGCTGGAATGAGCCGGTTTCTGCTCCACTTTGATCATTCGGTTCGCAAATGGTTTACTCACCTGTTAGCCAGGATCACACCTTAAGTCAAAATGACATGGAGAAATACGAGGCTGTGACATCCATAAGTACACACCCTCCAGAAAGCTTTCAGGCCTGGTAAGCCTGGTAAGGGTCTTATTACAGGGAGGTAATTAGAACTCCTATTTAATTTATGCAAAAAAAAAAAATTTTTTTTTTTTTTTTTTTTTGGAATGTATAGGTCATTGGCCAGCAGGCAGGCTCTTAACCCAGGTCTCACCCATTTGGGGACTGGCCAAGTCACTGGCTTGTCCACTTTGCTTTCCTTGTCTATGAAATTAAGTGGTTGACTATATAGTTTCGAAGTTCCTGTTTTACTTTTTAAAAAATATCTCAAGAAGTTTATTCTGATTATGGCGATGATTTAACCCCTGTCACAGCATCCAAATGGTGGCTCACAGTCATATATGACGTTCCTAAGACACACCTTAGGAAGATATGAAGCTTAACTATGAAGCTGATCTTGGTTTATTTTAAACATTGTTTCAGCGTGTGTGGCTGGCTCAGTCAGAAGAGCCCAACCCCCTCTTGATCTGGGGTTTGTGAGTTTGAGCCCCACACTGGGTATAGAGATTACTTAAATTAAAAGTAATTTTTTTTAGAAAAGAAGAATCTAGATAGAGTGAATGTTTAAAAAAATACACAGATTGTTTCAAGCAGTTAAAAGGCTAGTGCCAGTGTACTGAAGATACTTTGACTTTCAACGTCTCTTTTCTTAGCTTGATTATTGCGGTATTGACATTTAATCCAAATTCAATACATTCAGAGAGCATTTACCATATGCATGTCATGTGCGCAAAGCATGACTCGAGGCAGTTTATGACAAGCTGAAAAACAAGAATCTGTGAATGAACTTACAATTTTGGAAGACTCCATAACATTGCGTCTCCTTCAAAGATGAAAGCCATCTCTTATTCCACTGTTGCCATGTAACACTTTATTTTTTTTAATTTTTTATTTTTTTTATTTACGATAGTCATACAGAGAGAGAGAGAGAGAGAGGCAGAGACACAGGCAGAGGGAGAAGCAGGCTCCATGCACCGGGAGCCTGACGTGGGATTCGATCCCGGGTCTCCAGGATCATGCCCTGGGCCAAAGGCAGGCGCCAAACCGCTGCGCCACCCAGGTATCCCGCCATGTAACACTTTAAAGACAAGGACAGCCCCTGAGTTCTAAGCTCAGTGACAATAAGGAACACTCTGTAGAAGGTAAATAAAGCTCATGAAGATAGGGATGCAACACCCAGCAGGTGTCAGGGCAAACCTAAGATATATTTGCATACATGTCTGAGAACTTCACCCACACCACTGGGTGATCATGAACAAAACTGGGTGTAGTACGTTCCTAGGACTTCCAGGGTGAGTTGCTGGACTATATAATGAAATATTGATTACAATTAAAAAATGTGACTAATACCTAAGAAAATGGTGTGGCCCTAAGAGAAACAGTAATAGAAAGTTCCCAGAGTCCAAAGACCAGTTATTAAAGTTAAGACTTGAGTTCTGTTCTCAAAGTTTTCAAAACCTTGGGAGAGTGAGGCTTCTAGGGGCAGCTTATGGAAAATATTCTAGCACCCTTCCATACATTTCATCACCTCTCCCACAGATCGCTTTAAATTGCATAAAGTGAGCATTTTTCTTTGTCAAATGCTTTTCATCAACTTCCAGAATAATCCCTTTGCTGTTCTCCCAGACAGAATGGCCCCGCTCACCTTCTCTGTAGAATTGTAGAGCCATCACTGGGTGACCTGGGTCAGGTGGGAACCCCTGTGGCTTCATTTACTACCTGTCAACCCCGTGATGATGCCGTGCCATCCTCGTTGCTACATTTCCTGACCAGAGACACAAGCTAAGCTCCCAGCTCAGATCAATCCAAAACCCTGCATTGAAAAAGCCTTTTTCGCTATTTGTTAGATCCCAGGACTGCCGTTTGGGAACTGCCTGCCCATCAGCGACGGCCCCTTGGACAACAGCACTGGGATTCCTTTCTTCTATGTGACACCCAAGGACCCTGCAGTGGCCGATCTGATGAAGAACCCCATGGCCTCCCTCCTGCTGCCAGAATCAGAAGGAGAGTTCTGCAGGTAGACAAAGGGGTTGGCCTTGCCCACACAGGTCCTCTGCATAAAGAAGAGGGACGATGGGGTGGGTCCTGTCTGGGTGGCATGACTTTGCCAGGGCCCTGAGATGCAAAGTGATGTGTTCACCAACCTGAAGTGGAAGGAGTGGCTATCCGCCCCTTGGAATCAGGTGAATAGAATTCCACCACTCACCAAGTTATGTGATTTGGGGCAAGTTACTTCACCTGTGGGAGCCTCAGCTTCCTCCTCTGTGAAATGGGAATAATAATTCCTGCCTCACAGGGTTACTGGGAGGGTTGAGGGTCTTGTACAATACCTGGTGGGCAACTGGCAGCTCTTGTTATGATGGAAATAGGGTAGGGAGGGGAGGTTGATGAAGGAAGGTCCAATAGTCCATGAGTAGCAAGGAATCCATTTACTACCCCCAGTGATCTACCTACTTCACTCTCTATTTATTGTTTTTCAAATTAATTTTGAACCCGCCATCCCTCCCACCAGAGATGTATGCACAAAGACCCCAAATTCTTTAACACACTTTTTTCAAAACCTCTAAAAAGAAAAGACACTTAAGTGCAGATGGAACATTAATCCAACACTTCTGTCTGCATTCAGAGCATAGAGGTTGAAATCCCATCCTGCCAGGGAGACGTCTGCACCACGCTTGTGTGGGGGTCACACGGCAGGAACCCCCTGAGGAGCAGCAAATGCAACAGGTGGCCTCAGGCAAGTCCCTTAAACCCCAGAACTCAGTCACTTCACTGGAAAATTTGGTGACACTTTAGGAACTAGGATAGAATTCATCCCAATTCCAAAATTCTATTATTCTTTACACAAGGCATAAAAAAACATATTAAGCAAACAAACTGATTAGTTCTTTGGGGTGTGGGGTGGTAATAATCAAAGCAACAACATGCTGTAAAATGCCACTCAGATAAAAGACTCTGTCGCTTACCTTTGGGACACTGACAAGGAGAGACTGCATTGGGCTAGAGACAGTTCAGCTGACCCAGTTCCCTGTGGGGTCTGGCAAGAAGCCAGGAAAAGGGATGGTTCTTCTTTCATGGAATATTCTCTCTGTTCTTGGCCAGTCAAGCTTGCTGGCACTAGAAGTATATTCCCAGGATACCTTTCTAAACATCTGAGGAGTTCCTAAATCAGGCATCCTAAAGGTTGTCATGAGGCCTGAGCGAGTTGATCCCACAGCAGCTCTTGGAGACAGACAACAGAACATAGAGCAGCGCACACGGCTGCTGCAGCGTTCGGATGGCGGAAGGAATTGTCGACTGGAAGGTCTCAGGCGGATGTCAGCAGGAGCTGAAAGCTGGCAGCCACGAGAAATCTGGCTTCCAGGAGTCCTTGCTGGGGTGATCGAGGTCTGTAAGAACTGGGTATGTGTGTGTGTGGCCTGGAACCATCTGTGCCATCCGTCTTCATGCATGCAGACCACATCTGGAAAGTTCAGACACCTGTGCAGCACGCCAGGGTCACTGGAGGAGGCCGCTCAGGACGTGAGTGGCCACCCCAGGCCCGAGGGCATCAGTGTCTCAGCACACGTATAAGCCTGGCCTGGAAGAGGAGGGATGAGCCGCCACCGTTGTTACCCCTGTGTTTAGATCCTCACGTGAAACTACTTCTCAGAACTGCTCCCTGTTTTCCCTGTTTAAGCTTCTGAAGCATTAAAATAGAACTTAAAGAAACATACACAAAATCAAGGTTAGCCATAGTAAGCACCAAAGCTAAGGTGACCAAGCAGTGGGGCCTGTTGTCACCCCAAGATCCACTACTTCCGTTGAACTGCCTATGCCCCAGTGTGTTTCCGCTGTGTGAGCTTCAGCATCCAAGGTCTGCATTATATTTTAGGCTTTGGGTCCAGCATCTTGGTGATGTTGAGCACAGAGACTTAACTAGAAAGCCAGGCAGACACTGGAGCCCTGAACAAACAAGCCGAGCGGGAGCTCCTCGGGTCACAGGATCATCACAGGGCATCAGATACAAATACCCATGGCTGGGGCAGCCGGGGGGCTCCGTGGGTGAGCATCTGCTTTCTGCTCAGGGCGTGATCCCGGGGTCCTGGGATCAAGTCCCGCATCGGACTCCCCTCAGGGAGCCTGCTTCTCCCTCTGCCTGTGCCTCTGCCTCTCTCTGTGTGTCTCATGAATAAATATATTTTTAAAAAAATGTCCATGACTAAGAACTACTCGGACCTGCCACAGCCTGGCAAGGCAGTGAGAAGCCGCCCCTCCCACCTGATCCCTGGGTCTAGAGAGATGGCCCCTGAGACCAGGGCTCTTTGCCAAGCCCTTCACAGCATTCCCCACAGAGCCGCGGGATTACAAAAAAAGAAAAAAAACCAAAACTCCCATTTCTCATGCTGCTGCTGCTGCTGATGATGATGATAAACCAAAGCCTTTCACCTTCCTTTCACCTGCAGAAGGCAGCTCATACTCAGAAAAGTGAAAATTGCCTTCATTCTTTAAAGCTGGCGTCCTTGTGGATTGAAGACGTGCAGCAGTATTTTTACCATCACGTCTGGTACGTTCTGCACACTCGTGGTGCTCTCCGCTCTGTGCACCCGGGGAGGGGCTGGCTCTTCCCCGTTTCACCCAAAGTGGGCAGACGAAGCCAGACCCGTTCTTCCTGCGTGCTGCATGCGAGGGCTCTGCGGGCCCCGAGGGCCACGCTGGGGCTGGGGAACCCTCAGAAACCCGACCACAGACCGAGGCCAGACGGGAGGGAAGCAACGCGGCCACCAATGCTGAGAGAAGGAAAAGAAGTACCTTCCCAGCCATTTTCCTGAATGGCCCACGGAGCATTGCAGCTACGGCTATGCCTCTGCCCCAGGCCTAGCCCGGTGCCCACAGTGTGCACTGCGACAGGCTAGGGAGCCCCACTTGCCCGGGCAGGACACAGTGCCAGCAGGGCCAAGCACTATTCCTGCCCGAGGGTGCGCCACACGCATGGATTCTCCTGCCAGGGCAGGCTGAGCCGCGTGGGTGCACATGTGCGTACTGTCCCGTTTTCGACAATTACCCATTCGGAGGGCATATACCTCAAGCACCCCGCCCCCGGCTTCCCCCCAGTCTACTCTGTCACCTTGAACTCATCCTCTATCCAGCAGCTGATCTTTCAGAACCCGAGTCAGATCCTGGGATTCCCCTGCATAAATGCTTTCATTGGGAAAAATAACAAAATCCTCAGAAATGGCCTGAGAGGCCCTGCATGGCCGGGAGCCTGCCTCTTTCTCAAAATAGGTAAGAGAGCCCAAGTCTTTGCTAATTGACTTACCAGTTGATTTATATCCTCGTTTTATTAATTTGAGAGGCTTAACCTTGAAAGCATGTTGTGATCAAAGCTGATGTGGATGTTTGGCATGTAGCTAAGAAATGCGCTTTTTTATTGCGATATAATTGACATAGAACAGTATATAAGGTGTACAACGTGTTGGTTTGATACATTTACATATTACAGTGTGATTACCACCGTAGTGTTAGCGAGCACCTCTGGCACGTCCCATAATTATTATTTCTTTCTTGTGGTGAGAACATTTAAGATCTGGTCTCTTGGCATCTTTGAAGTATGTGATACGGTATCATTGCCTGTGATCACTGTGCTGTGCATTTGCTGCCCAGAGCTCATTCATCTTCCAACTGCTCACCTGTGTCCTTTGACCAACACCTCCTTGGTTTCCCCCCATCCTCAGGCCCTGGTGAGCACCACCCTACTCTCTGAGTGAGTGAGTTTGGTTTATTTTGAACTCCACGTGTAAGTGAGATCATACCATTTTTGTCTTTCTCCACCTGATTTTTCATGCTCAACAAAGCATCCTCAGGAGGCGTCCATGTTGTCCCAAATAGCAGAGTTTCCTTTTTCTCTTAGCTGATTAATGTCCTCCTGTATACATGAGAAGTGCTTTTCATTCAGTAACACCACATGTATGTTGACAAAGATCATGCCCCAAAAATGATGCTTAGGTCTATAGCTGGCCTGTAGATTAAAGATAAAGTTGGATCTAAACTATTAGGGGTGGAACACCTGGGTGGCTCAGTGGTTGACTGCCTTTGGCTCAGGCCATGATCCTGGGGTCCTGGGATCAACTCTCACATCAGGCTTCCCACAGGGAACCTGCTTCTCCCTCTGCCTGTGTCTCTGCCTCTCTCATGAGTAAATAAATAAATCTTTAAAAATGAATAAATAAATTCCTAGAGGTGAAAGACATCGAATATCCAAAACTCCGAGGAGGTTTAATGATGAAGAAAATACATAGCAGATGTCCTGTCCTTAACTAAGGCTGACCAACATCTTGAGAATAAGCAAGGAACACGTATTTCTCCACATTTTACAGGTTTACGGGGACGTTAGAGAGTTTTTTGGTGAATCTGTAAAATGCAACCTGGGGGGATGGCTGGACGGCTCAGCGGTTGAGCGTCTGTCTTTGGCTCAGGGCATGATCCCGGGATTCCAGGACTGAGTCCTGCATTGGGCTCCCAGTAAGGAGCCTGCTTCTCCCTCTGCCTGTGTCTCTGCCTCTCTCTGTGTCTCTCATGAATAAATAAATAAAATATTTTTTAAAAATGCAGCCTGGGGTCCTCCATCCCATCTGGTTATGGGATTTCCCCCAGACTTTTTACCACCCTGATTCTCTGGTCCCTGAACATACCCTAAAATGTCACAGTAAAGTTACTAGATGTAATGGCACGCAGTTGTCTGGACTCCCATGCCAGGACGTATTGAACTGGGTGCTATTACCTGCCCTTCCTCCGGGAGGAGATCATTTGGAAAGGGAATCCGACTGGACAATAAACAGAAAGTGACTTTCAATATCGGAAAAGGACAGGATTGGTGGCTTCTAAAGGACCACGCTCAGGCTTCCCAGCTCAGGTTAACATGACAAATTGAGCATAAGATTCCAGTTCACAAGGTTCACCAGCAATGAGCAACCCCCTCCCCTCTCATTTTCCTCTTCCTTCAAACGCATAAGGATGTAGAGATGCTCCTATGCCTAA